CCGCCTCCCCGCCAGGTATGACCTATTTTAAGGCTGTCAAGAATAAAAGAAAACCTCCTGATTAGTAATATAATATTCTGACATTTTTAAAAGACACAGTGCGTTACAACAGTTAAGGGGATACAGTGTGTTAGAGTAGGTAACTGAGAGAGTTTACCACTGTCAATATAAGGAATATGAAAGGGGTAACATTTCTGTTAAAAATGGAATTACAAAAGTGTAAGGGGTTGGACCTCATGGCAGAGCCTCCCTGTATAAAAGTTTGTTGAGTGCTCACTGCCCCCCTCCAAGGGAGGGGGTGCAGAGCAAAAAAAAAAAATGATATCAGACATTCTCAAACTTGGTCACTGCTGTGATGGTAGCTTAAATAAGTGATCCAATTGAATCCAGCTTAAAAATACAGTACACTTTCACTTATTATTTATTCAAAATATTCCTCCATTTCTTATTGGCTAAAATCCCACGGATAATTCATCAAACCAGCCACTGTTAACAAAATCAATTTGGAAGAGGTTTGCCATATGTGAAAAATGACACCAATTCTACGGCATAATAACTGCTAGAAATGTAGAGAGTAATTGAGAAGACCTGGGATGAGGTACTTGAGCTCTTTTGGCAGTGGGTAGAAAATGACAGAACATTTCACTTGTCTTGCAAGGAAGACATGGGCAAACTATTGGCTAAAAACATTGGAAAGAGCAGCAAGAATAGAATTCAATGGATGACATCTGCTATTTGGAGAATATTTGCATAACTGGACAACCCTTTATCTCAAAACTTGTTAAGGAACAGCAAATTAGAGATGAACTTAACATCAATGAAGGTAAGCATGTTTCAGCTTGTTTTTAAAGTAGGAATTATTTTGAACGAATAATAAAACAATTATTGAATTTGGCTTTTGTATTCTCTGAAGAATTATGGAGATCACGGAGGTTGTTATGCGCCAAGGCTGTTAGGCCAATGTGGATAACCTCCTCCTCCATAATTAATCTCCATTAAATTCTTTAGATGATACTCAGCCTCATTCAATAATTGCTCATATTATTATTATTACTGGTTTTATTGAAAAAAAAAAGTTCTTAAATGACAAGTTCAAATATATTTGAGTGCATTCAAAATCATTTTGAAATCTGGATTTTCTGAATGGATTGAACTTAGAAACATTCTTGATCATCCTTGAGGTGGATTTCAATAGAGAAATCAAAATCTGGATTTTTAACTCCAAAGATTTCTTTCTTTACCATTTGATTGGGATTATCTGAAAAAGGATTTGCAAAAGTGACAGTGATTTATGAATGAGAGAGATATTTCTTGGCCGTGAAATCAGTTTTTCACGTTTTTGATTTCACAGTAAGTTTTATTTACTGATATTATCTAAATCCAGATTTCTCAATCAAATCCACCCTCACATTAGAAATAGTACATGCCATTCGATTCGTTAGCTACATTGTTTTGAAAAAGCTGGTATTCTTAAGGATTATTTGCAGCCCACTTATCTATAACCCTTACCACATCATACCTTTCCATTCCCTCAAGTATGGAACAAAGATGTTTGAGTGTTCCAGAATCTTTCATAGATGCAAAAACTTGCAAAAGAAGTATGTATGTGGGGCTTATTTTACCACTTTGCTTCTGTTGTTTAAGATACCGGATTGTCAGAGAATTCACATTCAACTTACTAGCTAGCATTGTGTAATCTTTTCCATCTATAATGTCTCTTTCCTCATCAAGCAGCATACAAATGGAATTGATCAAAGAACTTGGTACATCATTTATGTGAGTTAAGTAACCTTTGCTATATCCAGTTGATTGTATTAGTGGTTTGACCAAAGGGCAGTTGGCTGTTTGATTTACATCACAGATTCCTAAAAAGGTGCCAAAAAAAAAATAAAGGATACAAATTAAGTAATATAATTTAACTTTGCCCTGTGTGTTTATAATAATTATTATAAACATATAATTGTTATTATTTTATTTCTTATTGCTGACCAGACAGGGCAGCCTCCTATTTCTGTCCTGAGATCTTGGCTTAGTGGTTATCTGTTTTTCAGCTTGTTTGAATGTTTGTTAGTAGTTCCCAGGCCCTGCTGCATAGCACCTGATCAAAAGCGAAGTGAAATGTATGGTGGCCTATTAATAATTTTGTGAGTGCCACAGAAGAAAGTCTTTAATGTTCCTTTTGAACACAGCTCTAAACTTAATTGAGATAAACCTGTTATGGAATTTCTTAGCGCTCACAGACTGTGATCTGGGATGTCATACTTCTTTGACATAATGATGTTGTGTTGATGTTTGGAATTGAAGTAGAAAATCTGTCACGAGTGCGAAGGAAAGTTCAATCCATTATAACTGTAGCGGTTAGTTGTATATTAGCTTGTCATGCAGGGTCAAGTCAAACGTTTGTCAAAGGTGTTGCCAAATATATCTGGGTTTTTAGTCAAAGGCATGATAAATGAGTGGTCATAAATATGTGTGAGATTTAAGTCAAAGGTCTAACAAAGGTATTATCAAATATTCCGTAGGTGGATTCATTTGCCACATATGCATTTATAATTGCCCTTGCATTTTGCCTGTTAAAGTTATTTTGTCTTTTAAGAAATCAAACGGAAAAAAATGACAGCTTACAACACCTAGTTTGAGGCAAATGAATGGACCCTGAAGTTCTAGTCAAATTCAATTGCAACCTGGATACCATTTATAATGGTGGGCAGAGAAGAGACTGAGTTCTTAAATATGTTATAAATTCATTGTTGATAAAACTTGGTTTAGGAGAGCCTGAATAATGCCAACAAAAACTTGTTTAAATGCATAAAAATGGTTTTGAAGATCCATAAAAAGGCTATATGTTACAACTAAATTTATTGTCTTTAAGTAATCAATGCAATCATTGGATGATCAAAATGTTCCAATAAACTCTGATTGTTAGATAAACACTCTTGGTAACTGATAGAAACTTCCAGAATAGTTTGAGACATTTCTTTCCCGAAAGCCAGGGCTAAATTTTAAATGTTGTTCACGTTAAGAAAGAGGACTACATACATACATACATCCTTTATTTGATAAAGCAGGTTGAATAAATGGCAGCTATTGCTGATGTGGACCTGCTCTCTACTTTACACTATAATGAATTAACATCTAAAAATATATCCCAATTTATTCTATAGACATGAGTGTTTTACTGGAAAATATACCACCCGTAACATTCATAAAAACTACATCCGGGACCCAAGTGGTTTATTTTCCATAATCTCACATGTGAGTTTATCGATGACGTAATTTCAGTAACTTCCCTCCAAAATTTGTAAGCGTCTTGGGTCCTTTGAATTTTAATTACACATTTTTCTATGCTTTGCTTATATTTTGTCAATGTAGAGCCCTATTCAGCTCAGCGTTATTTCTCCAGATTATTGTAAACAATGTCTTAGGGAAAGTTCATTTAATATGACAAGGGGGGGGGGATGAAGATATTGAGGGGGGCTCCGAAAATTTTTAGACACCCGAAGGGGGGCTCTGAAAAAATTGTTGCGCTAGGAGGGGGGGCTCCGAAAATTTGTATACTTCAAAACCAACACATGACATCATCATACAGATCGGATGGTTTTCAACTCAACAATTTAATGACCTGTGCAACTCAGCTATATCACGTGGTTTACAGATATAACAAATGTAGTCTCAGTAATTATTACACTCTTGTTCATCCCAAAAATGCTTTAGAAAATTGTATCACAACTGTATCTCAAGTTTGTCATAGTATAAACCATTGAAGACAATAACGGTAAATATATTTGATACAGTCTAGCGATCTTTTTTCAGGAGAGCAAAGGAATTGAAGGAGGAGGGGAGGGGGGGGGCTCTGAAATTTTTTCGACTACCAAGGAGGGGGCTCCTAAAAAATTGAACCGCTAGCGAGGGGGGCTGCTAAAATTTCAAGCTTTGAGTTTCAATATCTTCATCCCCCCCCCTTGTCATATTAAATTAACTTTCCCTTATATTGCTGTACTGTAAATTTTAGCCGTCACAATTACTTTTTGGCGAATAAAAATCAATTATTTTATCGATGTTTTTTTGTCTATATAATAAAAAGAGCATTACACAGCGGCTTGAAGATATGAATTTTATTTTCTCGTGGCAAAAACATTATTTTACTCACTCGCTACGCCCGTTCGTAAAATATTGTTTTGCCACTCGAAAATAAAATTCATATCCTCGAGCCACCGTGTAATATCCTCTATATAAATAATTATAAATACAAATAATAATACATAAATAAATAGATAAGCTTAAGATGACTATGTAAAAATAAATAATATATAAATTGCAATTAAGTTAACTTAGACAACGCAAATGAAAGATAACAGGATGACTAATCAAAATGACTAGTAATAAACTACATATCAATAATATATAAATTCGTCACTATTATTACTGGTTGCAGTAGGGTTCGTGCCGAAAGTAATTTGGTCAAACTTAAAATTAAAACTTAAATTTTAAGTGCTCTCTTTCTCAACATGGTGGATTTGTATTTTGATTTCACTTTCAATGGAAAGCCAAGTTTGTATATAATTATGAAATGTGCTTTAGTTTTCTTGAGCCACTGAAACTTTCTTTTAGCTACACCAGTCAAGTGACTGTCAAATTGCTTGTCGGTTCCCCCAAACAGGAAGCCATACAAAATATCTTGTTAATTAAGCCTTGTTCCGATCAAGACGCCACCATTGCAACAATGGAAGCGTGCCTCTGTGACATCCATAGCTGGATGATCAATGACAAACTCACGATCAATGATTCCAAGACTGAGTTTATGCTTATTGGGACGAAGGCGCAGCTACAGAAAACTAAAAGCGCCACTCTAACTATTGGCGAATCCATCATCTCTCCTAGCACGGAACCCCTTAGAAACTTAGGGGCCTAGTTTGACTGCCATTTCAACCTGAATTTCAACATAACCAAAACTTGTAGGAGTGCTTTTTTTCATCTACACAATATTAGACGTGTCAGAAAATATCTTAGCATAGAATCTGCCGAGAAATTAGTGCACACTTTCATCACAAGCAGATTGGACTATTGTAACTCACTTTTATACGGACTACCCCACTGCGCCCTCACTAAACTGCAGCGTGTTCAAAACGCAGCTGCTAGAGTTCTATATCTAGCACCACGGTTTACGGTATAGTGTGGTTATAATATGCTTAATGTGACCGACGGACACTGCAAATCTTATCTTAAATTCCAATAATATTAGTGAGTGTTTCGTTAGATACCTTGTCGTCCTAATTATTTATCATCTCTTGTTAACTTTAAACCTAATTCTTCCTACAGCCTCAGATCAAATAACAAATATCTGCTTTCAAATCCTAACTTTAGGACTCTCCCTACTCTTGGTGACCGAGCCTTCGTAGCCGCCGCACCAAAACTATGGAATAATCTTCCGTTAGATCTTAGATGCACCCCTGATATTCAAGTTTTTAAACGTATTTTGAAGACTCACCTTTTTAAAAAAGCCTTTTCTGATATAATGTTGTAATGTTTGTAATGTTTTTTTTTTTTTTTACGGTATATTTTTAGATCTTTAATTGTAAGGTATATTTTTAGACCTTTAATTGTAAGGAGCATTTGAAAACTGTATAGTTGAATTTGCGCGGTATAAATAAATGTTATTATTATTATTATTGTTTTATTTTCTTGGTCTGAACATACTGTTGAATTATAGATCCTTGTTTTTTTCTTTAATTAATCAATGGAATAAAAAACTCGGTCTTGACTTCTAACTCAGCCAATAAGAGGTATAAAATGTTAAAAGTTGAACCGTTGGAATCAGTCTGGGTGTTTAAGGTAAAGCTGAACAAGCATTTGGTAAACGTAGTGATTGGCAAATTGTTGATGGGAATTTCCAGCAGGACTTTCTTAAAAATATAAAACTGTGCAGTGGCATTCTATCAAAAGGATTTAGTCGTTTTCAATGCAATTTAATAGATTAAAATGTTAACCTATTGCTAGATTTTACTGCTGACTAGTCTTACCATCCATACAAGGTTCTGTTTTGTCTTTTCCTTCAGAGGGTATTCGTTTTCTTGGTCTTTGACCTATAAAAAAAAAATTTTAATCACAAACAAATTGTTGGAGTACTGGTTTTTGGATGGCAGGAAGATTGTAATATCCTGCTTTTTTTCATGTTTGCTCCAAATTTCCCAAACTTACAAACAGATTTAGACTGATCTTTTCAACCCTTGCCTCCTAAACATAAAAAATTGGCTATGCCTTAGCTTACCGTTAGGTCTTGGTTCATTGTCAAGGGATGTTGGAATCCCTTTCTCTATCTGTACATCAACTCCTTGCCCTTCTTGCTTAGTGCTAGATGACACATAATTGGAAAAATCTTGAGTTTCACATGTTTTATCACTTGCCAAAGGTACCAATGGTATTTCGTTTGGGTCTTCAGTGCTTGGCAGCAGTGGTGCAATGACACTACCACTTGCACTAGATTCTCCATCATCATTTTCTGTGCCTTTTTCCATATCATTTTGGCTGACACTGACTGACTTCTTTGACTTGTACTTTTTGAAAATATACTTAACTACACAGCCTACAATTAGTACGAACACAATCCCCAAAACAATTGTTAATAAGGAAACTAAAATATTCACTATTACACTTTGATGGGAAATATGAGCCTTCAGTGTTTCCTCCATCTTTTTGTCCTTGAGTAATGGGCTGTCAGCATTTAAAGATTCAGAAACACTTAAGATGCCTGATTGTCTAGCATGTCCTAAAGTGCTTGATGATGTAGCCTCAATCTGTACTGTCTTTGACACTGCTGAAGCAATTACAGTAATCCTCTCCAGTAAAGGTGTGGCAGTTGTGTGAAAGAAAGAATTTATTGGCAGTGATGAAGATGTTACAACAACCACAGATGAATGGTGTTCTATTGGCTTGGATGCATCACCAATAGTGGATGACACCGATAAGGAAGAACATGCCTTGGTCCAAGGTATTTTAAATTTGCATTTCTTTGCAATTTCACCTTCATCACCTCTGCATCTCTTGGCAATTTTCCAATCATCTGTACAGCATAAAACACAGGGTTGGCATTCCTTGGTGGTCCTGTTGCGATAATACCCATCTTCACATTCACACTTGACATTGCGTTCAGGACTGCAGTTTTCAAGGACGTGCTCGTGTTTGCCTGCGCAAGTTGCACATGTTTGACACTGCTCACTGCCAGAAGTGTCGGAAAAATTAACTCCTCTTGTACAGGCAACACAAACAATATCTGCATCGCGTGACACAGTGGTCCCACATGCTACAGATAAACCAAACCCCACGTAACATTCACTGCATGGCCAGCACACATCACACTTGCCAGGAACTTTTCTGGTGATTTGCTGTTCTGTACAATTTGAGCAAAGTTGGTCTTCGCTTTTGGCCACTGACAGCTATGATTGGTTGAGAAAAAACAACAAGCTCATAAGTGTAATTATAATGACTGAAAACATTAATTTAATTAGCATTAACTTATATGAGATATGTCCAGAAATGCCCGCAATTGCCATTTCTGCCATCCAAATTCGTCATTTTTGCCAAAATCACCAATTTCTCCAAAATCGCCACTATCCAAGGGGCCACTTTTGGCATCCAATTAGAATCACCAGCCCTCTGTCCATTTTTCGGCATTTTCGCCACTGCGTACATTTAATTGAGAACATACAAGCATTACTTTAGAGTGGTGAAGTACATAGCAGGTTTTTAGGTGCACAAAGCACACATCAGTCCTTGATCGATTTAGCGATCATGAGAAGATCATCTCCTGAATTGTATCCGCGAAATAGGCAAATTCGCACAGTTTCTTTCTGGCTATTTCTTTACGATTGCTCGTGAAATTTTTGCATTTGACTGTAAAAGATACTGGATGTAATGGAGGCCTGCAAAGTGTAACCTCCTTTTTACGAGGATCTAAAAAAATACAGTTGACTCCTGATAACTTGAACCTTCTAGGGAAATTGAAAAATGTTCAAGTTATCGGGTTGAGTTTGAAGCAAATAACCGGAAATAAGAAAAATAGGCAAATGGGTGGGGAGGGAATGCAACTATACAACGAAGTATACAGGAATGGACACTGAATTTGAACTGGAGTGACAAAAAAGTAAAGACAAAGAATTGACGCAGTTGCTTTGAAATAAATTCAATGTCTTGGACTTCAGTACATGGTTTTTTTCCTGACTTGTAACGCGCTTATTACATGGTTCGAGTTATCAAGGGTAAAATTATATAGAAACGATGCAAAGGGAAACACGAGTTAGCAGCAGGTTCGAGTTATCAAGGGTTCGAGTTACCGAGGGTAAAATTAATCCAGGGGAAATCGACTTCGCTTTGAGTTAGCGAGGGTTCAAGTTACAGGGAGTCAACTGTAGAACAAGAACTGGAAGCTAAACCATCGGCCATCTTTACGTTTAGGGAAATGCCGTGTACATGAGAGTGTTGAATTACTGCTGACTTGCAGTACTATTGAAACAAATATGGGATCTTTCTAATACGGTCATGTATGAATCATTTACATTATTTCTAACTAATATGGTTTTGGCAGGCCATACAGACTCAAAGTAAACGTTGGTTCTTTCATGCGTTCACCTTCGCCGTAAGCATGCTCAAGACATTTAAATATGCTTGAAACATTGCCTTTATCTTCACAAGTCGAGTACAATATCAGTGGCACAAGAAAAGAAAACAAAAAAAAAAGAGCACACCTTCACTGAAATTTGGCATTACAAGTAAGTTACAGGTACGTGGTGGAAAATATATCGGTTCTAGTTGTTGTATAATTTTTTTTATTGATTCTCCTTTACGAGTCATTTGCAAATAGCACAGGAGTTAAGCCTCAAGTTTTACTAAGTGAAAGCTTGTTTTCTTTGCTTAAAGTGCTGTGTAAGTTCAACAAATATACCCAAGTCTTTTTTCTTTTGAGGCATTTCCTTCCAGTTTTTGTGCATAAAAGTTAGACATATTTCTTTAATAAAGTAATGGAGCAATTTGCTTAAGATAAGCTATCTGGTACATAGTGTAGACTGACATAGCCTAATAGTCATTGGAACATTCAAATTGTACTTTCAAGGTGCCACCTTAGCTAAGCTAGGAAAAGAAAAAGAAAAAGTGAAATAAAATAAATAAATAAAAGGAAAAAAATAAGAAAAAGAAAAAAAAAGAAATAAGCTTGACAGTGAATGACACTTTTCATATAAGCCTAAAAATTCTATTTGCATGAATACACCTACATGGTTACTAAAATATAGCTTTTTGTAGTTCAGAGGACTCATAAAAGCAGACCTGCCCACCCATGATGATCATAAAAGAAAATCAGGAGACTTACGAAAAAATCTGGAGATTCTACAAAAATAGTGAGACTCTATTTTTTTTCCCGATCAGGTTAAATGAACCCTTCTTCCACTCGTCAATTTCTGTACTAGAACTACGTAGAAGCCTTTAAACGGTAAACAGAAGCGCAAATCCCACAGTTCGGTAAGTAAAGTGTTTATTCTTATTTGCTTAAGTTTATGGCACTGACATTATCCATCAAGTTTCCATTTTTATTCTACAATGTAACATTTCATTTTGAACTGACTTTTCACTAAAAACAGTGAGATTTGAGACCTTGAGGTAAAATAAAAAATTGTGAGACTTAAGGCAGAATCACGAGAGATGGCAGGTCTGTAAAAGTATAACAAACTGCAATTACAGCACTAAACAGGCTTTCGTTTTGTTATGTAATCTAATATGGTAATGGCAAAATTGCATCATTCTGCAAAGTCAGGGAGTTTATGCTTACAAAGCAAAACAAGTTCATCTCACATAATATTCCTAGTTTCGACAGTTTTGAGGTGTGGTATTTTAGAAGGTTTCCCTTTCACCAAAATCACTCTTGTAGATTTTTTGGAGATAGCAAATTTGAAAGTGTCCTTAGTAGAGATAGACCGTAATAATGGGAGTTCGGTTTCTGACTGTGACAAACGTCTGAATGTACATGTTTTATCTAGATGTCTGCCATAGCGAAGTGTTGGCAATGCGACAGTTGACAGTAGTTCAGTCTGTTTACCAGTCATATGCTATATTAATGGAGGTGTTGATTGTCTACACTCTTTTTTTGGAATGGTCATAGCTTCAGTACTACTTATAGGGCGGTATTAATTAACGCTGTGTTCCTCAGTAACGGAACTTAACAACTTTTAGGGACGTTCATTTTCTATCTCGTTCCATGAAAAACTATTTTGGCCATGGCGTAAGAAGATGGCAACGTTTCAACACGAACCTGATTAAGTTGAAGAAATTTCCACAGGCAGCACAAGGACGTACTTAGCGCGTCTTGATGTTTCGTAAGGTTGCTTTGGCACGTCTCTTTAACTGCGTCAATGACGTGCATTTTAATGCTGAGGGGAATCCCCGGACCGGCCTGGCCACGCAGAGTTGCACGGAGCCGAAGTCGCAGACACGTAATCATGTTATTTAGGTAGATGGAGATTTTCACCTTCATCCTTTTTTGTCCAGGGCCAAGGTCTGACCTGCTAAATTCACTGTAAACTGCCTGCGTACAGCCGCCCCGCTGTACATAACAGGCTAGGACGACGGTGCATGTGATCAGTTTTTCATAAATTCAGAAAATTCTCGTTTCTGGGTAGTAAAAATTCTTAAATAGGTACACTGTAGTTCTTGTAAAAGCTTAAAAATGGCAAAGAACTGAGTGAAACAGAACCCCCCATTGCAAATATGGCGACGTAGTACGTTTATGCACGAAAGCGAGGCTCCTCAAATTATTCCTTTTAAACTTACATGAAGTATTTTCTTGTGTTTATTTGTGTGCTGACTGCGTTTCGGGCCTCTTAGGATGCCAAGACCTTGTGAGCAAAACTTCCCTAATAAGTAATTTTAAATAATTCTGATACAGCAAGAAATTTGAGCAATGTTTCTTTGCTCACTAAATTAGCAAAATGTACAATTAATATCGCTTTGAAGCTTACCGTTAGCGTTTTCTTAAAAATAAAAGAACTAATGAGGGTTTGTCAACTTTCCTTTCTTTTCTCTCTTCGCTCATCTGGGTGAAAAAAAAAGGCATTAAAGGGACCTATCATTTCAGTCATTTATTAGAGGGGGGAGGGCTAGTACAATTCTTTTTTCTCAGGTGAATTTTTTTTATGCCCTCCCCCAATTTCCTGCAGAAAAAAATGTAACCCTCCCCCTTGTAAGGCCCAGAATAGTTATGACCCTCCCCAAGCTAAGATAAGACAGGGATTATTAAAAGAGATATTTTGGTCGAGAAGGAAACAATCGCATCAAGCCTTTGAGATTTCTTTAATAAACAATTATTCTGCAAGAAAAGATTATACAATGTCCTAATTGGTTCCAAAATCTAAGCTAAACTGGAATCACGAAAGCGTAAAAATCATAAAACAAACATAATACAAAGAAAAAGAAACAAAATTTGATCTCACCTGAAGAGTGGATCTCTTTAGGTTGTAAGAACTTGAGTATCAAAGAAATAAAAACTATTCGTTCGTGTCCATAGGCTTATCGCAACTGAAAACTAAACCTAAGAAAGTTCACTAAAAGCAACTTAAATCAATCTATAAAACTGTCAATCAACGAAATCGGCGGATCAGCAATCAATCATAACTCATGATCATGAACAGTTCAACATAAAATAGACATAAAGTCACGTAAGTTCCAATACGTTTGGCGGAAACTTTGGACGTTTAGACCAAATCAACTTTTACCTTGTGATAAAGGGAGGCGCCAATACGACATTCAGGAACAGGTATCTAAGATCACCTCACGCATTGACACAATATTGAGGACAAACAATCCTGGTGCTGCTGGAAAATTTTACACGACCGATTATGTTCTTGTCCCAGCTGATCAGTTAATACTGAGGGCGAACATTATGAAGCTCAGTGAGTTACTAGAGAACATATCAGATATGGATAGATTCATTAAAGCTCACCTTAACACCCTGTTTCACTTAAAGACTGGTAATTTGATACGAGGAGAAGAGTATTCTAAATCTTTTGATGAAGAAGTTATTGCAAAGGCTTCGAAAAGGCTTGATGAAGCTTTCAGTTAGACAGGTCAGGTGGCTGACAAAAATAGCAAAGACTGGCCACTTGACAGAAAGAGCCATTAGAACAGCACAAGACTATCTAGATGGTTTTATGGAGGAAAGTAAGGAAGAACTGGATACAGATGAAAGTCTCTCTGGGGAAGATAGTAGGACAGCTTGACAGAGAATGAGGAGTGTGGTGACTAAACCAAATATTGTGATGCTCCACTAAGGGGTTTAATGTGGGCTGGATTAATTTATACTCTTTCAACATTTAATATGTGTTGATTGGTTGGTTCTCACAGAAAATCTTCAAGAACGTTTAGATATAAAATGTTTTGTTTGATATGTAAAGACCGCTTTTGTGCAACAGTTGACATACATGTAGGGCAAGAGACTTTATAGTCTCTTGATGTAGGGTTGTTGGGTTGTTCAGGTTGATCATTATTAAAGTTTAAAATGCTTACTGTGCAAGGGACTTGTTTGTTAAACAGTATATTTTGTTTGTTTATTTATTTTTATTTTAAGTGAACAGCAATGTTTGCTAAAAATGGTATGGCTCTCCCTAAAGCCCAGCTTAAATTTTTGGTGACCCTCCCTTTTTTTGGCTACATAAAATTTAATGACCCTCCCCCCATTTGCACCAGCCCTCCCCCCCCCCCTCTAATAAATGACAGGCCTCAAAGGGTGACTCTGAGACCCGAAACGCAGTTAAAACACAAAGATAAACAAGAAGGATTTTTAGGGATTTTTAGATTTGTGCTTTTTCACAAATCGCAGAAATCGCGAAATTAAGTGAGAATATAAGGCGTTAGCATGACTAGGTAGCCTCCCACGCTGGATAGAGATTTATCAACTGAATAGCTGCTATCCATGCACCTTATGAACAACCTGGCCCAAGAGAAAAAACGAAATTGGCAAAATTGAAATTGGGTTACAAAAAAGTGTAATTGATTGAGGTATATACAAAAATGTGCCAAAGCGTCGCAGAGGGTAGGGAAATCTCTCATTTCGGTTAGTTATAAAGACCAAAATGGGCTAACAGATGCATTCAATTGCTGGAAAAAACTCGGAAAAAAAAGTGGCTGGAAAAAATTGGGGACCTATACGGGGTATATAAAATATCCGCAAGTCCACGGCAACAAACCAATGAGTGGTGTCCGCGCGATCTCCCAGTTGCAGACCTGATTCAGTACAATTAAACTGGTAGAAAAATATGAGACAGCAAACTGATCTTTGACATCCTTACGGCAAGGCGATGAAGAAGTAGACAAAAGAATAAAGCAAAAAATAGATATTTAAACAAATTGTCCAATATTTTTTGTTTTCTTTTTCATCGCCTTGCCGTAAGGATCAGTTTGCCGTTTCATATTTTTCTATATGGGCGTAGCGTGTTCACAGACCCTTTATTTTCTCTCCAAAGTCGTGGTCCGTCGAGCGTGGGTGATAATAATTTAAACCGCAGGGGATTTATTCAGTTGACCGCCAGCGCAAGGGGGTAGTGGTGGGGGAAGACGAAAATAGGCGCGTGCTCGCTCTGCTCGCCAATGTTTTCGAAAAGAGCGAAAAGAAAAATAAAACAACTTCTGTGTACAGGCTAATACGGAGAGGCTCCGCCCGAAAGGGGTGCCTTTTTCAGAGTTCAGGTATATAAAAGGGTAGGGATTTCACTAGTTAAAGTATATAAAAGGGTAGGGAAATCTGTCGTTTGGGTCTGTGAAAGACTAATATAGACAACAGGGCTAACAGATGAATTTTATGGCTTTATAAAGTCGAGAAAACGTTCTTTTTTGTGATTGATACCTATTTAAAGGACAGTGTATTTACAGCAGTTAAAAGGGATGCAAAGTTCAAAGCAAGGTATGTGAAAGGGGTACCATTTGTCAATAGAAGGTATACCAAAGGGGTACCTTTTTCGGAAAGGTTTTCGTGAAAAATGGTACGTAAAAGCTAAGGGGTTGGACCTAGCGGCGGAAGTAGACCTGGGGCCCGTTTCTCGAAGGTCCCGATAATTAACGGGCCCGGTAAGCTGTCTCCGTTTACATTAAAGATCGAGGTTTCAATAGTTTTGCATTCAACACGATAAAACTGTCAGTTGATGAAACAAAATGGAGTAGTTTGCTAACCAGGACCCGCGCTCTTATTCTTTATATTTCGATTTGAATATTTGATTTCGGGCCCGTAAAGTTACCGGGACTTTCGAGAAACGGGCCCCTGCACCGTACCGCGCTCCGTCGGGGCGGAGCCTCCCCTTATAAACATTTGTTGAGTACCTCCCCTGGGGGGTCTACGTTTTCGAGGTTTGTGGTGTATTTGTTTTCTAGACACTTGAGGTCAAGTGTATGTTTTTTTTTCCATGACTGTGGCATGGTTTTTTTTTTGCGATGTTCATACATATACCTCTCAGCCAACCGTCTACTCCTCTTCTTTTTGCTTTACCAGCGGTTGTCCGTTTATGATTGGCCTGAGGAGGCTTGAGCCGAACCAATCAACTGGGGAGCTAGAGATGAGCAACAACTGCACGAAGCGGGCTGATCAAATAAAATCTCAATGAAAGTAGGTCATTGCCTGTGACTATGCTTCGACTACATAGCTCACCATCTTGTTATCACATTTACCTGTTCTCAAAGAACCTTGAGGGCTAAATGATGCTGCTGCTAGCAGAAGCCGGACGCTCTCTGAACAAGGATTTGACGAGCCTCTTCAAACACAACATTCATACATCACGAGTTCTTGAACGGCTTGTGCACGAACTTCACAGCGACAAAGAGCTATGCAGTTATTTATTTCTTAATCATCCCGGCTCGGAGGACATGCTATGGGGTCTCATGAATCTTCTAACAGAAGATTCCCGGTGAGTTTACCATTACAGCTTTTGTTTATGTCTATACATCATGATCAGACACATGCCACCCAGGGAATTTATACGGTTGTAAAATTGTCAAGTTATAAGCTTATCGTTTCCAAACTATCGCAGGACAAAACTCGAGGAAAAAGGCGGCGTGTTGCGAAGGTGATGTTAATGAAAAGATAAGTTAGCCTTTGTTGTTGCCGTGTTTTTGTTTTGAATACGAGAAGAAAACAGCTGCGTTAAGTTGTAGGGAAGGTGACAAATTGTTCTTTTGTTCACTCTCCGATCCAGGATACTCGTTTATAACGTTATGGAAAATCAATTTGTCCGACTAGGCGATAAAAAAAGGACATTTCTTCGCAGGAAATATGCTAACCATTTGCTTCGTTTAAATTAACATTAAGCTTAAACAAATAACTTTTCGAGGTAAGGAAATTAATGGAAAGACCAAAATGTATCACAATGAGGTCGTTTTAAGCTTTTTACAAATACGATAATTAAGGAAATGAGATTGTCAACCAAAACCGGCTATATTACTCCAAATATTGTCCGGCCATTTATAACGACTCTTTTTCCTGTGTTATCCCAAACCTGTTAACTTGAGCTCAGGCTTAATTTTTTCGTATTATCTGTGAACTTTTTCTTGCAGAGGCTAAGACGTCATTGTATTTACTTTTCCTAATCCAATATTTCCGCAAGCTGTAGGGGGAATGTATTTTAAGCTTACATTTGCACAACTAGATTTACATGTCTAGATACCGTCAGTTTGTGAGGAAGCAATTATCGCTTTGGAGCGTTTTAACAAAGTTTGTTGTCATTTCTTGAGTTGTCTCGTCTTAGCTAAAAGGTTTTTCTTTCATTTATGCTAAGAGGTGATAATTATTGTTGTCATAAACACCTTGGTTGTAATAAGTGTAAGCCATTATGATTTGAACATTTAAGTGACTCTTAAAATGAAATGGAATAACATTTAGGGAATGAGGGATTCAGGAAATCAAGTATATCTTTTAAGAGCACAGTTTTGTTTCAAGAATTTTTTTCTTTTATTTTTTCCTTTTGTGAATAATAATAATTGAAAGTCATATTCATTTGTCTGCTTGATTTTTATACCTCTACCTTTACAAACTAATAAAGTAACATCTCACAATGACAAGAAAATCATTTTTACAGCTTGCCATTTGGGCTAGCTGAAGCTAGCATTTACTAGCCCAGACGTCATTTCAACTAGCCCCAAATGCAGAATTGATTTCACACTTCTTCTGTTATTCGAATTCCTCAAAGAACATTACTTGCCCGTTGGGCAAGTTAAAAACAGATTTCACTAGCCCGATAGCAAAATCCACTAGCCCTGGGCTATCGGACACTACTTTCTTTGCACGCTGGACAAATGTTAGTTGAGAGAAAGTTTTTATGTGTTGATATTCACTTTAGCTTTTTTGTTAATCATTATTTTTTTCTTTGAGTTTTGTGTAATAACACAGCGAACCACACGTTCAAGCCATTACTGCAAATGAAATTCGACACAGAGCGTGAAAATTACAATATTATAACATTTTGATTCTATGATAACAATATATTTATGTTTGTCACAGAATCAAAATTTGGCCAGTTTTCCTATATATATGTAAAGGGCTTTATGGTAACAGGACTGAGTGGAGTCCAATTTGGTCTCTAATCATACGAGTGATCAACAAAATCGGACAACCGCGTCATGGGAGTCCGATTTGTTTAATCACAAGTATGATTACAGACCGAATTGGACGACACGAGGTTCTGTTACAAATTAATCATAACTTTAACAAAACGTCACTGTGATATATATGGCTCTTTTTAAAATCAAAACTCAAGAAATTCCAAGATTTTCTAGCTAGCAAATGAAAAAAAAGCTTTATAAGCATGCGCGTGATGGCGCATACTGTCCAATTACTTAGGCATGACGCGTACTGTCCTATTAAGGCTGAAATCAGGGCAGTTGATAACCAATCAGATTTGAGCATTTTGTTATAGTTTTGATTAAGAACATAACTGGTGATATACTTTGGTGAACATCTGATTTTATATCAATTTTTTGTGAATTGTTGGAAGCTGACCTAATATGACAATGATCAGGCATCCTTCGGGTCAGCATTGATCAGCCTTCGAACAACTGGGGCCCAGTAGTACAACATTCCAAGTGGTAACCCAGATGTTTTTGTGAGTTTGGTGCATTTTACTTTAGGACTCCAACTTTTCCACTTTTCAAGTAAAAGAACTGAAGAGTTTTACAATGAGATATTTTAATGATGTTTCAGCACCGCTGGGAATGCATCCTATGTCATTGGCACACTAGCAGAGACAGATTTGGGTAAGAGAAGGATTGTACAAATATGCACAGACAAAGGTGATCAAGCAAAGAAAATCTTACCAGCACTGACCAGTATGTTGGATATGGTTGACACAGAAACTGTCATGAATGCTGCAGGGACCATGGGTACCCTGGTAGGATTAAAATTCATTCACTCTTATATTTTATGGCATGATGATATTTTTGTAATTCTTTATTTAAAATCTTTGGACCAAANCAGCCTTCGAACAACTGGGGCCCAGTAGTACAACATTCCAAGTGGTAACCCAGATGTTTTTGTGAGTTTGGTGCATTTTACTTTAGGACTCCAACTTTTCCACTTTTCAAGTAAAAGAACTGAAGAGTTTTACAATGAGATATTTTAATGATGTTTCAGCACCGCTGGGAATGCATCCTATGTCATTGGCACACTAGCAGAGACAGATTTGGGTAAGAGAAGGATTGTACAAATATGCACAGACAAAGGTGATCAAGCAAAGAAAATCTTACCAGCACTGACCAGTATGTTGGATATGGTTGACACAGAAACTGTCATGAATGCTGCAGGGACCATGGGTACCCTGGTAGGATTAAAATTCATTCACTCTTATATTTTATGGCATGATGATATTTTTGTAATTCTTTATTTAAAATCTTTGGACCAAATTATGATGTGTTAGTGTTAAAATGAATCATTTTGGTACACCTTTTGCTTAGTATAAATATTTAAAATGCTGATCAAAAGTTAAAGTTACCAAATCAATAGTTGTGTGGATAAGATCATTAAGAGTATAAACTAAAATTCCTAAAACTAAAGAAACATTAATTATTGTTATATCTTTGAACAAGGCTGAAGATGGTGAGTGTCGACTATGGATGCTGAAAGAGGACTGTTTAGATGAGGCCATTGTAAAGCTTACGTATCTGCTCTCTTCTAAAGATATGTGTACAGCAAGCAATGCTGCTTTGGTTTTAGCCAGGTGTTTTGCAGTTTTTATACTTATTAGGTTATAACACTGAATATAAGACAGTGAAAAAGATGGTCAACAGAAACAAAAAAATTCTTAGCTACCAATGCAACAGATCATAGTTTTTTCTTTTCACAAAAGTCTACTTTAGTAATGTGTTAGATTTCGATTTTTTAGTGAGATACCGAACAGAAAATGGCTTTGACTCTATTATGTAGGTTCAAAAGGCATTTGGGGCAAATTTCCAGTGGTGAATGGGATAATAGGTAACATTTTTCATGTAGGTGTTTGTAGCACTAAGTAATGTTTCATTAACACAGTAAGATTGTTTTCTGCCTTTTTTATCATGCTCCTATTGTTGTGTCTGGTGTTAGTGGACAAAACACTGAGCCCCCAGTCCAAGGAATACCCCCGTGGACTACCGTAAAATGGACTACACCACTGAAGTTTAGAGATTAGGGTGAGGAAACTGAGTGAATCAAGTTTTAGGTCAGTTTTCCCAGCATAGTGACCCTAAATGGAACCTGATTCACTCAGTTTCCTAACCCTAATCACTAAACTTCAGCATTGTAGTTCAGTTTAAGGTAGTCCATATGGGTAGCTATAGTCTATAGGGGTAGTCCATGCACGGACTGCGGGTCAGTGTTTTTTCCACCACCAACTGGTATTAGTGTGATGTACAGTTAGAGCAAAATACAAAATAAAGTTAATGTAGTAAGACAGTATTTCTCGATAGTTTGCAAAGTTTACATAGTTTGTTCAGTAATTTACCTGATTGTTAGAACCACAGCTAACTCCTATATCACAATGATAAAATTATAGTCTGCTGTCTGTTCATGCTTCCAGGATCCCAGTCATGTAGTGAAATAGATGTACCGTTATTTTAGTGGGATTAATGGGATTTCTTTTCATAATTTTATACATCACAGGCTTACAATCGCTGAAGAAGGATGTGCTAGAATTTTAAACCATCGAAGTTCCAGTCATATACTGGTGCAACTGACAAGAGCATTAGGCAATGATGAGACAGGTACGGCACAATGATGAGGCAATGAAGCTACTGTGGGTATTTTTAAAGCTTTTTTGTGTGTTCTCGAAAAATTCATTTTTTAATTTTTATGCTCACAATAATATATTGTCAATTTTTTGGTTATCCTCTCTTTCAGTTAACAATATTATTGTGATATATCTGATGCCAAAAGAGAGTAAAATCAAACTGGATATTTTCATTAATTTTGAAAAATTACCAGTGATTTTGAATTCTTAACATAATCATTTTGCTGAAGATTCCATACACTATTGCTCTGTNTCTTTTCATAATTTTATACATCACAGGCTTACAATCGCTGAAGAAGGATGTGCTAGAATTTTAAACCATCGAAGTTCCAGTCATATACTGGTGCAACTGACAAGAGCATTAGGCAATGATGAGACAGGTACGGCACAATGATGAGGCAATGAAGCTACTGTGGGTATTTTTAAAGCTTTTTTGTGTGTTCTCGAAAAATTCATTTTTTAATTTTTATGCTCACAATAATATATTGTCAATTTTTTGGTTATCCTCTCTTTCAGTTAACAATATTATTGTGATATATCTGATGCCAAAAGAGAGTAAAATCAAACTGGATATTTTCATTAATTTTGAAAAATTACCAGTGATTTTGAATTCTTAACATAATCATTTTGCTGAAGATTCCATACACTATTGCTCTGTTATTAACCTTGCTAAATTACAACAGGACGGGGCATGAATGCAGCATTTGCCATTGGAAGACTGTGTGATTTTGAAGCTGGCTGTAAGAGAATGTTATTTCTAAAAACATCTGAATTGATGGTAAGTACTTGTTATCAATGAATGTTTTTGTACCTTGACGTTGTTAAGCAACTGACATTGCTGGTTAGCAGCATTACTTATTTGAAGGTGTTCTTTCCAGTGCAAAGAACCCTTTAAAATCACTAGCTGGTAAATCCTGTAAATGGTCCTTGTCAAAAGTGGAAAAACCGTATTAGAAGGGTCTATTTTAACAAGAAGACTAGAAGGGCTCCCTGTCACTTACCGGTATTCTTACTAAGCTCGCTCCAAAAGCCATGTGAGTATCCTGCTTCTAAAAAAACCTGGGGGAGAGGGGGAATTTGGGAGAACTCGACCCATTTTTTAGCACAGTCCTGAGAGCTGCTGGGAGTTTGGAACTGTGATCCTATATCATGAAAAGTAACAGCTGCAAAATATCTGGTCATGTGGAGGATAACAGCCTCTATTGCAGCACCTTATTTACGGTAAAAGAACATCATTCATTCTCTCATTCTCCCTTGTAACTGGCTAAATAAATGTATCACTCCTCAGATTCAACTATACCCTGTAGGATGGGTTCAGACAATGATTAGGACAGACTCAATGGAATTATATACCCTGTCCATGGTAGAGAGTCCATCAACCACACCCATTATAGTGGCATGTCCCCATATAGGCCATGAATTGTGAGACTCCCCACACCACCCCTCTCCAAGACTTCTGACTGCCCAGAAATATAGTTTTAATGAATAAGCAGCAAAGTTGAGGAACTGCTAGGTCATTAGTGTTTTCTGTCAAGTAGATTTAAATCTTTGAAGGACTGATCATGAATTTTGTAATATATTTTTTTGACAGATCAACTCACTTATTGACATGTTACATGCTAGTGATTCTGGCTGTTGCAAGAATGCTTGCTTTGCCCTCAGCTGCATAGCATCCTTAGTTCAAGGTCATCAGCGACTTCTGGAACATATTCGAATTAACAGTGTTGTAGAAATGCTCTGTTCATTGTTAGCTTCCAAGGATGAAGAAAGCATATGGTTTGCATCAATGTGAGTAAATTAATATCCCTTATTTACCTTTATTTTTCCTTCATCACCTGTTGACAGGACAGAACAAGAGCACTGGCTGTAGTTTTAAGATTAAATTGTTATAATTAATGCACTCATAGGGTTTCAAGTTATCATTTTCAATTAATTGGCTCTCTTAATTTGTAGGATGTTACATACTCTTGCTTCACAGAAAAGGGGTTGTTTGTATCTTAGGACTCAGCATAATGTTAAAAATTCATTAGAGGTAAGTTAATACTGGGTGTGGTCGTCAGTTCACTTGTGTGATAACATTACTCAGGGTTTCAGTACTGTCCAACTTTATTTTGAAATTCACGCATCAATATTGCACCCTATTCTTCACTTCCACATCAGTTTACAGAGAGAGATTTGCTGCAAAAGAAAACCAAATTTTGACATGAAAAACCACTCGGTATTGAAAACCTCGAAACACATGTACATACGCTAGTGTGGAATGTTTGTCTCACCTCCATGTGCTCAGTACAGCGTTTTCCTGGTGGCCACTCTCTTCATTTAGCCTTTTGAACATTCTTTTACCCCCATACCATCCCTCCCCCCGCCTATATTCTTCCACTGATAAATAAGTGTTACAGCTGTTTAATCAGGTTGTGAGGATTGCACCTACCACTCATCAATTCAGGCAAACATTGATCATTTTGTTGGGTACATGCTGTAGGTACTTTTACAGAGACCACATCTTAAAGAGGATACAAAAGAAGAGGCTAAGGCCACTGCAGCTATACTGGAAAAATTGCTAAAACCAAAACCACCTAATATTAAAGGTACTGGTATAATGGTATAATGAAATCATTTTTATTTTCATGTTTTGAAATACAACTCTCTAGAAAATATCTACACAAGTTCCGCCATGAAGGGTTTCTTGGTTTGAATGTCCCAGAGTTCTTGAAATTTTAGTGTAGTTTTATATATTTGTTCTCTATTCCCCTCTCCTCTTACACAATTAAGTAACCAATTTCTTGTTTGCATTTTGTCACCGTTGCTAACTGGGTAAGTTTAGTACTTAATACAGTCTACAGGTCAAACCTTGTCAATATGGATATATTAAGTGGCTGTAGAAAGTGTTTGTATTAACGGGGTGTCAGTATTTAACCTGGTTGAATTTAGAGAAAATGTGAGAGCTTTCTTTCCCCGGAGACAAAGCAAACTGCCCGTAATAATGAGGTGTCCGTAAAGTGGGGTTTGATGTACCTGTTCTGCACTGGCTCGCGATTGATCTTTGGATTGAATTTAAAATTCTTACTGTTACTTACAAGATTCTCCATGGACTTGCTCCTGTTATATTAAAGATCTTCTTCAAAGTTACCTCTCGGCACGGGATCTTAGGTCTTCAATGAAAAATCAACTTGCTGTAACTGCTTTTAACATAAACAGTTATGGCCGTCGGGCTTTTTCTGTTCCTATGCCGCTTCTTTGGAACAGTCTTCATCAGCATATTAAGGGATGCTGGATCACTGGACATTTTTAAAAGACAGTTGAAAACTGTTCTTTCTAGACATACTTTTTTCAATTGATGACTTGATTTTGGTGTTTTTATATCTTTTTTTTTATCTTTAGTTTTTGTAGTATTTTATTGTGGTTTTAAATTTTTACTTTTACTGTAGTCTTAAGTTTTTTAAACTTGTAAATAGCACCTTTGGACCATGGGAAAGGGTGCTTTATAATTTTTTCATTATTTATTTTTATTTATTTTATTCCAGTATACTGTCAACAGCTCAAAAATATTCTTGTCAACTTATTTTATGTAACTTATTTCATCGAAAACAATAATATGATTAATATAATTTTTTATGATAAAACAGGATCTGTTGATTTCAGCAATTAAATAAAATTGCTGGATAGTGTTAGTTCTAGTGCTTTTACCAATTTTACTACAAGTGGAGCTAATGAAATGACATCCAACTGGAGTTAAGTGGAGGGTGGTAAATTTCAGGGGAAATTGTGATCAATTAAGGGAAAGAAAATTTACCTCGAGTTAGCGGGGAGTTTGAGTTACAGTCAACTCTCTCTTAATGGACACCTCTACAAGACAGACACCTCTGTAAAACGGACACCTAGAGTTGGTCCCTGCTTTTCTTTACTCCCTTTATTTGACTCTCTATAAGACAGACTTCTCTCTAAGATGGACACATAGTACTGGTCCCAAAGGTGTCCATCTTAGGGAGAGTTGACTGTATCTGAGTTTGAGTTAACCAAGTAAAAATGACTGAAAAGTGGGGTGAAATCCAAGGGAAATTGGACTCAGTTCGAGTTAGCAGGGAGTTGAGTTATCTTAGATCGAATTATTCTGTACTTGTATTTTAATCTTTTAAAAACAATAATATTTGGTTTTAATTTTGTAGTTGAGAGTGCTTATTGTATTATTGTAACGTGGGATGCTATTCATCCAAAGAGTGGACTTGATGTAACATATCTGCTTTTCAAAGGTAACATAGTCTTAACCTGTGGACCTTAATCATTTCAGTGGATAAAATAAATGTTTTAGATCCTCTAAATCGGGGCTTGAAAAAAATTTGAGTTCCAGCTTGTCCTTTAAGCAAGAATAGAAGGTTTCACATTTTTCTTGCCTAGAGCTACTTATTGCTCCTTTTAAATAGTTATTAATAATGATTTTGTTAGAGGATGGGTTGTTTCGACCTTTCCCCATGGGGCAAGTAAGCTTTAAAAGTTACTTGCCCAGCAAGAAAATCCACCTGTTCCGGATTACCGGACAAGACTTTTTTCAAGCCCTGGCCTAAACTAAATAACTTTGTTATTGAAGTGGTAGTGGTGCTATTCTAGGTAATGGTATGATTTAGGTTCCTGGTCCCAGTTGTTCAAAAGTTGGATAGTGCTATCCTCTGGATAAATCACTATCCAGCAGACAAGTATTTACAAAAGCAATAAATTGCATTATCCCCCTGAGAGAGATATATTCATTCTGTGGATATACAATAGTGCTATCCACCTTTTGAACAACTAGGCCTGTATGCTAGGTGGGTATTATTTTTGATGTGGTTTGTTTTATACTGACAAGGCTTTCACTCCCAAGAGTGGTCTGTGTATAAAACTCAAGAAAAAAACCTCCTTGCTTATTTACTATTTTTTTGTATTAAAATTTCACAGATGGAGTAACAGTTTACTCAGGGTCAAGAACCAGTTACATAGCAAATGATCTCACACCAGTCACAAGATACAGCTTCTATCTTCAAGCTTCTACGGAGGGTGACGACAGTCCTTTTAGCAATGTTGTATCTGTTGTTACTCCAGAATCAGGTACGTTTTGTGATCAGTAGGGTACACTCGGGTTCATCTTATGGAGACAATAACTTGCGCTAGATATCTTAACCCTTTGAGCCCCAATATCTACATACAAATTCTCCAAACTAATCTCTATATATTTCCTTAAAGAATGAGTTGAGAGTATTTGACAAAAGATCAAAGCATTTTCTCTTAGGTGATCATTTTATTAATTCTCATAACCTAGTTTCTTGACAATGTACGNAGATATCTTAACCCTTTGAGCCCCAATATCTACATACAAATTCTCCAAACTAATCTCTATATATTTCCTTAAAGAATGAGTTGAGAGTATTTGACAAAAGATCAAAGCATTTTCTCTTAGGTGATCATTTTATTAATTCTCATAACCTAGTTTCTTGACAATGTACGGATATCATTGGGAGAAAATTGATGTTGGTCACTATTGGGACTTAAAGGGTTAATAGCACCTATAGCACAGCTCTTTAAAATAATTGCCAAAGTATCCTGGCCACTTTCTGAAGATCTCTTGTGGTACTTACAGAATAGTCGAATATGCATGTAAAGCAGACAATAGGCACAGCACACGCCTTCACCTTACAATTTCATTGGTAAATGTTTGTTTTTGCAAGAAATTGGAACTTTTCTCTGGTGGCCCAAAGAAGAATAGCATTTGCAGTTGGTGGTTATAGATAAGAGTAAGAGGTTCTCTTTTGTTACAAGGGACTCATGAGATTTCAACTTAGTCCTACAATACCATAAACTGCTGCTTATAATTTTGCATAGATTTTTTAAGAATTTATGTTAAAATCTGTCTTTTCTGATGAGATGCTACAAGTGCTATATAAATATTTTATTATTATTTATTATATTTTATTATGTTCTTAAAGTCAAATGCTTAAGTTTTCTGTTTTCCGTCAGCTAGCACAAAGAATGAAACTCCCATCATTGACTATGTACAGGACATTTTTTTGACATTGTTGATCTTATCTATGTCCATGACACATGTCACAAAAAACCAACCTACATGTAATCTGTACAGTGGCAGACACAGAAAAAAGGGGGGCAGTAGACTTGCCAGCTTTATAAGTACTGTTTGTTATTGCTCAAGAAAATTTGAGAGCATCCTTCAGGGCTTGAAAAAAGTCTCATACCGTAGTCTGGGACAAGTAGATTTTCTCAGGAGGGAAGTCAAGCATTAGTTGCCCTGGCCAGGAAAGCAAAAAGTGAGAGCTTCTTGCCCAAAGGACAAGCTTAATTTCAAGTTTTTTTCTAGCCCTGATCCATGTCCAAAAGTCATGGGTCTAGAACCCTCTCATGAGTAAGTTTAAGTGTAAGTTATGTTTATTGTAACCTCCTTTTAACTCTTTGTTTTAGTTCCTAGTGCACCCCAATGTCTCAGAGTCTTAAGCAAATCAACATCTCAGATAAAGATTATTTGGGAACCACCAGCTACATCCAATGGAGTACTGAGAGGATATCAGATTGTTGCAAGAGGTGCAGTGACGTTAATAAAGTTTCAGACACCGATTCATTGGGTGAAGCCATCTGAAAGGGTCACAGTAATTATTAGTAACATTGTTTACATGTGCCTTGAATATTCAAGATTGTGCCCGTGAATATTATTTGCGTGAGGCAGAGTTTACCAGGCATTTACAAGCTTCTTCCTGAAAGAAATACAGTATTGCTATTTATATCAGGGGTTTGAGTCTGAGAGGGATTTTTTGTTCTCTGTAGGTAAGACATCCAGCCTTGAAGTTCATGAGAATTACTTTATTTTATCCAGTGTGCCTCCTGATACAGAATGTACTTTTCAGGTTAGTTTGAACTGTCCAGTATGGTTAATTAAGCAGTAGGCTAAAGTTCTATTGAGTATGCAAGGAGCAAGCCTGCTGCAGTGGTGAGAGAACTTGTGCATGAAGTGGTGCAGGTATGAATCCGAGAGATGATGCCATATGTGGGTTGAGTTTGGGCTTTCTTTTTTGCTCCAAAAGGGTTTTCTTCACATGCTTCAGTTTTTCCGTCCCCTAGAAAACCAACTTGGTGGTCGAGGGATATTGAAAGAACATACGGAAATAATATCTTACAAGTCACAAAATTATAGTTGCCTATTATCAACTCAGACACTGAAGAAGGACAAATGCAGTATATATTTTTATTATCTTCGTAGGTGTTTGCTATGACAAGTAAGGGCCGTGGAGAACCAGCAGTGGTAACTGCAAGTACAGATGACTTAGGTTAGTGAGTATAACCACCAAGCATTTACTGAGGACAAGTCTGGTACTTACTAAACAATAACTATTATGGTGGAAGCAATAAAATACCAAAAAAGCCAAAAAAGGAGCACAGATAAAAAAATGCATTGCACTTAGGTTAACTTGAAAAAGAGTGGCCCGCATTTTCAAATTTGTCTCAAGTCATGTGTCTTGTGTGAAAGTGTAACTTATAATGCTCTGGAATCAACTGTATTTGTTTGCTTGGGATTTTATCCATTAATTAAAGGTGTTTCTTTCACCAGCATGTTTAAGCTGATAAAATTAGTCTAAGTCGCTCAAGTTACCGTAACTTAATTCTTATTCTCCTTGATGTCCTGACTCCAGTGTCGTGTATACACAATCATAATACAAGATTTGTCAGTAATCTGAATTATTTTAGGCCAAGAGTATCCACCAACTTAGGTAAGACGTCCTATAAATTCTCCGCTCCAAAAATCTGGGAGACTGTACCGCTTGGTCTCAAGTGTCTGCCATATCATAAGTTTAAGAAAGAATGGAAGTCCTATCTTCTAACCAACCAAATCTGACCTTGCTTATACAGTGAAATTCCGAAAGTAAGCCCTGGGCTTATATTTTTCAAAGGCCCTTTTTGAGGGGCTTATTTTTGGAGGGGCTTATATTCGGAGGGGCTTATCTACGGAGGGAAATTTGCGTTTCAAAATCGATTGAGCTAGCCTTATAGTTGGAAGTAAATTTACTGTTTTTGCTTTGTTTTACTTTGTATTTTAGGGCAATTTTCCAAGTACAAGCCCCTGGGGGGCTTATATTTGGAGGGGCAATTTAACGGACGGTTTTTTGCGTTCGGGGGGCTTATACATGGAGGGGCTTATTTTCGGAATTTTACGGTATGGTCTATCACTGATATTATCTGAGATTTTATTTCCTCTCTTTACTGCTGCCAATTATCTGAACATGACAGTGTCCAACGAGAAAGCTCTTGTGACTCTGTACACAAATGAACTTAATGTCTTTTTGTTAATCATTTATAATTTTATCAGCTACTTTATTTTTCTACCTATGTACACTTGTGTAAATATCTTATATAGTGTGAAATAAAGAATTGAATTGAATTGAACTTTGCATTTATTTCTTCATTCCACTGTTCCAATAAATTATATGAAATTCATATATTTATCATTTCATCCCCACCTTTCCTGGGTATATTACCCAGCGATTCAATGACCAGCTCCCACTTGGCTTGCTAGCTCTATTGGTTAGAGAGCTACCGACTCAGGTATTGCAGTAGTCAGGGTTCGAATCCCAGCAAGTCAAAATTTTTTCAGGCTTTCTTTTCACAAGAGCGTAAGTTGCATCTTAAACTGTGATGATCCTCTTTGCATTTATTTGTAACTTAATCAAACTGCTTAAAGCATTTGACCCAAGTTTCAACTCAATAACTGTTATATTGTTCTTTTTATCTCTTCTTTTTAGCAT